GTGCTAGAAAAAAAACAACAAAAACCCTCAAGTCCCTCTTTTCAGCAGTGTCAAGTCAGGATGAATTGGCCAGGAAAGCATGTTTATAGACTGTGTGAAGAACTTTGTCTTTGTGTGGGAACGCTGGTGACACTGGTATGGCTTGCCTGAATGAACTGCGATGGCGCGGCTAATAAGGTGTCCTGCTGAGTGCTGCCGCAGCCTTTCTCAGACCTCCCACTTAATGCCATTCAGCTCCAGCTCAGTGTAGCTAATTTTTCCCATTCCCTCAATTCTTTAGGCCCCCCTTACAAACAGAAAAGTCAACTTTCACACCGAGGGGAAGATAAGTGCTTTAGGAAATAATCGTGTAAACAGAATGTTACCTTCTGACCTGATGCTGATACCTTGATCTGGGACAAAACCCAGCTGGCTATTGCATTAGACATGGCTATTAAAGGAATAATGCTGCTGATCCTCCTTACAAAGTACCCTGAGAAATGGTTTAGCCAAATCACAGTGCCTCTTGTCACACTGAATCATGTTTAGCTGCTCTCTTCCATGACCAAACTGCTGATATTTAGATGCTCCCTTGTCTTCTTTCTAGTGGCAGTATGACTGGAGGATAAGTATAAGAACAAGTGAAAGTCGGTGCTATTTCTGCTAGCCCTTTTATTTTCTCAATGAATTTCAGTGCTTTGAAACATACATGCCATATTTTAAGGAGTACGTGGTGTGAAATGTCCACAGTTGTAAAGGCTGAGTACTTTAAAGTGGGAAAAGAAAATGACAAAAGGATTTCAGTGTTTCCAGTGACATGGAATTGTTCGTTTTAAGATCAGACTAACCTATGCCTTTTGATTCTCAATGACTGAGACTAAAATGAACAACTATATCAGACCTCCAGGAGCATCAGGGAGAAGAAGAATCTCTGCCTTTTAGTCACTTGAGTCTTGACAGGAATTTGGCATCCGGATCTCCTAAAAGAGCTTAACCTTCACAATCCTTGTAGCAGATACTACCACTCGGACTTAGAAGTCCACCATTTCGTAGAAGTTATTTGACTATCCTGGATTGCAAGAGCAGATGTTCGGCACTTGCTTTTACTGTGGTGTTTTTTAAATTTCTCTTTAGGTTTGCCGCTTGCACAGGTCCGTGCTCTGAGCTGGGTAATTTGGTCATTGCAGGCAGGCCAATTTGGCTCAGTCTAAAGCTGTTCAGCTTCATACTTAAAGGATTTCAGCATTTTCTTGTAATTCTCGTGATGCATCCAGAATAACAGAGGACTTTTGTCAGAGGCCTTTGGGAAGATGCGTTAGAGGGCTGCCATGCTTAAAATCACTGAAATGTCGCAGGTAGTTTCCTAGTAGTCTGTTTGATAGGAGAGCAGGTGCATTTCCAGTGTAGACCAAGTAACTTCTTTTGTGGCTTTGTAACACAGTTGATAGTTAGTGTGAGACAACCTTTCATTATTAGACCAAAATAAGAATTAAGCGTATGTATTTTGCAGCAAACAAATCATAATAGTAATTTAACATCAGTTTGCACCCTTACCCTTAATTTAGCACTTAAAAATATTGTGAACCATGGATCTGACACACTAAAACATGTAAGTATGTGACTTTAATGGTTGACCTTACTCAAAAGTTACTATTCTTTGGATATGTATCCTTATACTATTGTGTCATCTGTAAAAAGCTGCAGCCTGTAATCTCTTAATGGCCCTGTATGGTCACAACCAGCAGCACAATTTGCTTGGGGCACCGGCGGTTTCCTTTGCTTTTTGGTACAGATTTCTGGAAGTGAAGTGCTTGTGCTTCCTCGCAAATCATGGCATTTTTAGCCAAGAGCTAGCCATTTCGTGACAAAATTTTTAGAAGAGTTGTACAGGAATGTGTGGATCTTTAAAGTCTGGTGAAGCTCTTCAGGAAAATCTGATAGTCAGCAAGTACAGATTAAAAGAAATAGCATTACGTCCTACCATTAAAAATACTAAATGAATGCTGGTGTTTGATTGGCTTTTTATACAGTTCAGATTTATTGCTCCACAAACTGGTTCATGGCATCACTTTAAAAAGTATTATTTGATTCATGGTTAAAGCAAGGGTATTGTTACAGCAACCCACAGCACAGTAAAGATGCATGGATTTTGAAGCCTTCCTTCTTCATTTGCAAACACTACCTCTTGTTAAAAGAGTAAAGATGGTCTTTTGAGATCTCATTTACTTGTATACTTAACCGATGTTGTATCTGTGGGATAGAATGCAGAAGTGAGGAACGGAGCGTTTTTTTTTTGTTACCCCAGCCATAACACCTTGGTTGTTTCTTCCCAAGCAGTGTGTTGGTGTTGTGCAGACTTGGTCCTGGTGAGACTCTCAGTGTTTTACAGTACGGTGTACAGTTTCTATCCAAGTCTCCTTAACGCCAGATATTATTCTTGCAATGTTGCAGAAGAAGGAAATGTTGCTGAACTGTTCTTTATTGCTGTCTCCTTTGCCAACTTTGAGTCTGATTCTAAAAGCATAAATGCGAAGATTAGTTCTTGTGCCATCGATTCAGTGGAATTACAGGCGCCAATAAGTATTTCAGGGTGAACTATCGGAGTACCACAGCAATGAAATAAGTCTAAATTTGGGAACTCTTAAACTAATAATAAGTCCCGGGTAGTAATAATAAGCCAGGGTAGTGTGTTACAAACATTTGTATTTAGCTGAGTCATTAAAGGCAAATTTTTTTTTGTGAGATATCCCAGATCATTTAATAAGTACAGATTATTGGTACATTTAGTACATTTAGTTAGTACAGATTTAATAAGTACAGTATATGCCTTGTAGCACTGATGTTAATTTTATTGTATGCCTGTGTTTCATGACTTGTGAGAAGGAAAGATGTCAGAAGCCACTTAAAGCGTCATTCTTGAGAAGTAGCACTTGGACTATTTTATTTTAATGTGTCGTGAGACACTTCTAAAATATCTGACAAGAGAAACTACAAGAGGAGCAGCTGGTTAAAATTATCCCCTTTAGAGCTGGTACTGATTTATATGCAAATCATGTTTAAATCCAGTATTGTGCAAGACTATGACAGAGCTTTAATTAATTGGTCAGAAGCAGACTAATCAGCTGTTTTGTTCATCAGTAACTGAGTCTTTTCAAGTTAATCTGGTTAGGAGGTATTTTAACTGGCTATTTTTGGAACAGATTGTTTATTTGGAAAGTGCATCTTCTGCATAATAGACTCTCAGACATCACTTTGCCTTAAGAGGACTTCTCCAGACCTTGGGGGCATTCCTGCAGTATCTTTTTTTTTTTGTCAGAATGCATGGCAAAGGGCAAAACCAAAACTAAGTTCTGAACCAGGAAAGTTGGCAAAGCAAAGTCAGTTTTTCTTATGTGTAAGTTGCATATCCAATCTATCAATGATAGTGTTAGAAAACTATAGTAATGTAAGCGGTTTAAATTTTAAGGGCACTAATCAAAATAATATCATGTAAAGTCAAGGGTGACAGTTTTTCTTGGTGCTGGATGGGGGCTGACAGTAGGCAGTATTTATTAGCAGTATCTGCAATAATTTGTCAGCTGAATGGAGGATTTGGAGATTTTCATACCAGAGAAGTCTACGCAAGAGCTTTTGCTTCAGATGACCACTAGCTTAATTCCAATGCACATCAATTTTTCAACAAGATACTGTTCCTTATGTTACAGATTATTGTGGACTAAAAATGTGAGATTTTTTTATAAGACAAAAAGTAGTATCTCATTGTAAACCTAATGGTGTATCTTTCTTTATAGCTGTAAAATATCTGAATGAATGTAATGCGTTTAAACATTTTACGCCTTTAAAAACAAAGGTCTCCTTGCTGGGCCAAGTTGTTCCAGAAGGCTTCTTTACTGTGCATTACTTTACCCTCATTCACCTGTCCATATGGGCTCCTTCCTCTTGCTCAGCTGAGGCTTCTGTCACCATAGTACTTACCCATTTATATATATCTGGGATGTATGCAATCTATTGCATACATTTATTCCCTTTATCTTATATATTGTGCATCTAGCGTAGCATTCAGGTTTTTTTGTGAGTTTTGACTGTGTATTTTATTTCTAGCTGAAACATTTACGTTATTTTATACCTTCCTCAGTTGACAGATCATTAATTACGTTAATTTCCTTTTTGAAATTAACTATGAGTCCATGGATTTCAGGATCTCAGGATCTCTGGAACCATGTAAAATTGCACAGTGTTGGGAGTACCAAGCAATTGTCATTAATAACAGATTAACAACACAGCGACGACTTTTAATAATGCAAGATGAACAGTAATGCCTTACCTCCTTACTGTGTACTGAGCCGAGGTTTCAGAAAAGAGTTAATCTCTCTTCTGCATCTGGAAAGATCACCTTCTAGGTGTTAGCTATAATCTCAGTAAAAATCTGCTTTCGGCATAAGGGAGAGCTGTATTTTAGAGAATCCTAACTGAGCCAGGAAAACCTTGTCATTCAGTCCATATCAGCTGTGATAAACACTGGTTGGCACTAATGTATCACTTTTCCTACAGTGCACAGAGCACTAACCAATACTGCTAAACGTTGTGATCACAGTTTTACAGATGTGTAAACACAACACAGAATAGAGTGTAGGTGCATTGTGAACTTGTCACTAATTTGGGGTTCCTAAATCTTAGTTTCCACACCCAAAGCACATATTCTTAACTTTGGATGCCTTCTGATGCCCAAGTGCTGGTTTCGTGTTGTTTGTACTAACTACTGCGAACTTGCTTTCCTCCAGATTGCTCTTTTAGCTGGGCAGGGGAAATCAAATGCATTATTTTACTGGGGTTGAAGACAGAATTGCCTGAGCAAGGATAACCAGTCCAAAAACATGGTTAACATATTGGGAAGATTGTTCCAATACAAACTGATAGTTCTGATCATCCCAATAATTATTTCTGAGATAGTGCTTAGAAGATATGTGTATTTGTACGTGTTCACATATGTTTCACTTAATGACAGTTTTGTTTTTTTCCAGAATTATAGATCAGCGGTTTGAGAAAGTTTCTTATTTCGTCTTTGGAGATTTCAACTTTAGACTGGATGCCAAAGCAGTAGTAGAGGTAGGACTTCGATTTTACATCTGTTGCAGACCCAAACAGTTTTTATTTCTCAGACATTTTTTTCCTTTGGAGAAACTAAAAGCGACTTAATGAGCTAACCTTAAGGTTGAAATTGATCTTGGCTAAGAATGTTTTCAGCCACATCATCTGACGGGTAAATAAAAATTGCTGTGCTGAGAATCTGATGGAGAAATTAAGAAAAACACAACTGACAGGCAGCGTTTTTTCTAAATAGTGGTGTGTAAAGTGATTATCACATGCAGAAGGAGCTGTAAACATGAATAGACTAGGGGGTGCACACTATCTGTTTGTGATCCTGTGAAAAGAAAGGGGAAAACATGAGTACCAACCTTAGCTGAGACTTCAAATCTTGACAGTGCATAGAGGATTACCTTTCTTTGGGTGGTGTGTTTGAGCTTCAGCAACAGACACCGCATTTCTATAGTATGCTCGTGACTTCTATCACTTGTTGTATCTCACAGTGAATTTCATTGTTTTTTACTATAATTGTCAGGGAAAAATAAGAGAAATTTCCTATATTTCTGTGGTAGCATTCGTCTTGAAAAACACGAGAAGACATTTGTGTTAACCTTTGTGGCAGTAACATCTGAGTTGGAAGAGCGACTGGAAAAATTGTATAAAGCCAAAGAAAATAGAGTAAGCCTTTTTCATCATGAGTTGAGATTACTTTGACTTCACTGCCAGAGCACATCTCCAGGTAGCATGGGGTCAGAAATAATATCCAGGTTGAACACCATGGATTTAATCTCATGGTTTTCCCACTTTTAATTTTTGGAGATGCTGTAGCGTCTTTTTTGTGTCCTTGGATTTAGGCATGTATCTTCTAAACCAGAAGCTTTTATTTTGTAAATCAAGCAGCAGTAGGTAAGTAAGTAGCCTGTGTGTCAAAGGCTGGATGCTTCTCATACAGGTGCAGTACACTTCTATACATGATGGATGATCAGTCCTTCATCTGTTGGAAAATATGAGCTTGGCATTATAGCACAGTGTATGTAGCTAATAACTTCCTTCTCAGAATCCTTTACACATTGTAGTCATTTAACCAACAAACTTAAAGCATAATTGAACTGGATTTCCAGTCAGTGATTCAGACTGTTCAGCTTCAGATGGTAAGCATGTGATAAGAACTAAATCCTGTTCTCTCAGGATCTCTGCTGTTACTATAGTTGTCGTCCATGTTTATAGGCTGCTGGTTTTTGAAATGTCTGTTTCTTGATTCAGTAGTAGTGCAGTAATGTTACTGAGAATGTGTCTGTCTCAGAGAACACCTCTGTTGATCATGATCCACCAGAATTCTTGAACACCCAATATTGACGAAGAGCACTACAAGGTTTTCCTAACTTACTGCCTAGACTGAAGCTGCAGAGAACACTGTCTTTCTTACTGATAGGATAAGACTGCTACATTTGTACTTGTGAGTTTCAAAGTAATCTGCTCCTAACAGATAGCACCAGTAACCACCAATGATGCATACTGAGTAGGTTGCACAACTGGTGCTAAGAGTACAGGTTTAGAACCCTGACACAGCACTTTTCATCTTACGAACACTGTGCCAATGTCAACTGAAGATAGACAAGCATACAAGCTTATATAAAAGGTGTAATTTGAAAATGAATCAAACTTATCCATCTTTCCTAGGTAAAGTTCATGCATGTATGTGTTTATAAACTGTTAGAATAAGACATATTTTCTGTTGCTTTATTTGATAAGTAGCATATGTGTAATTAAACAGAACTTGACCCACATCACAGTGTGCTGAACCCCTGGACACTCTAAGATGCTGCAAGCAATAGATGTGTTATGGAAATGTAGACATACACAAAACACTATGAATGAAATATGTTTTTAAAGGATTTCTCCCTTAAGCCACTGCGAGGGAGAATCTGAGAACTGTAGAGTCCTGGCATAGTGTGCTAAATCAGATGCTAAAAGTGTTACACTTACTAATTCACAATTAATAGACGATAAATCATTCATATATAATTTCATAATTTTTTTAATGGGAACTTTAATCTAAAGTCGTATTGATTGCCTTGCCAGGAAAATCTGCTTTAATGTTGTTGGGGTAATCCAAGAAAGATCAATAAAGCAGGTAAAGGCTTTTGGCAATTCTGAGATGCATGTACGCGTTAACAAGTGTGTTGTCCAGAGGGATAAACTGGCAAGAGGGAAAAAGGACATCAGTAGCATAAAGGGCATGGCAAATACAATTGTTTTACAGTTGGTTTGAATTATAGCTTAAGCATAATTTGTAGCTTGGTGTAATGATGTTCAGAGAAGTACCTCCAGCTCAGCCTATTAAGACATTTCATTCTGAAGCAAGTTAGTGATAGGGTTCCATTTTAATCATGTTATCTACGGACAGTGTATGATTAAAAATAAAGGCAGTGTGAAAGGACCCAGAATCACAAAAGATTTTTTATCCAGTGGTCTCAGGCACTCGTGTGCTGTGGCTGTGTGCCAGGCATTGGTAGTGCTGGAGTTTCTCCACCAGGTCTTGGTGAGCGGTGTGCCATGTTGGCTTTGGGCCGCAACGTGGGAAACTGGTGGAATGTGTCCTGCCATGTGATGAGATCAGAATTGTGAGGAATCAGCTGACTCCATTGAATCTGATGGGATTCATCCCATACTGAAGAATTTTGCAGATGTTATAGTTGAACCTTTCTCAACAGTTTGCGAGAGGTCTTGGGAATCTGGCATGGCTCCCACTGACTGGAAACGAGTCAACATTGTCCCAGTTTACAAGAAGGGCACAAAAGAAGACCCTAGAAATTGCAGATCTGAGAAATAGAGATCTGTAAGTTTAACTTCAGTACCTGGAGAATTACGAAGATTTTCTTGTGAAAAGTGTGTGAAAGACACACAAAGTGTAACACAAGCACCAGGCCCAGCTGGCATGGGTTCGTAAAAAGGAAGTCAACTTCCTGAGCAGGGGCAGCGGAAAGGGAGGCAGTCATCTGTTCTCCCTCATATCTGGTGACAAGATGCTTGGGAATGGCTCAGGCCCGTACACTGGACATTGGGAAAAATTACTTTGAAGGGTGGTCAGGCACTGGAATAGGCTTTCTAGCAAGATGACTCGTGCCCCATTCCTGTCAGTGCTCAGGAGACATTTGGACAGTGTCCTTAATGATACACTTTAACATTGGGTAAGCCCCAGAGTAGTCTTGACAGTTGCACTTTGATGCTAGGGGGAGTTCCCTTCCTATTGAAGCTATTTTATTCTGCTCCACTAAATAAGAGTTTTCCATTCCACTCTACTAAAATCTCCTGAGGCACACTTGGTATCATCCACTCCTCAGGCAGGCTAAAGCCTGTAGCTGCTGCTTCCATGATGATAAACATATGAGAGCATAAGTATTACAAAATTTTAGTTGCAGTAGCTGTAGTAATGTGAAAAGCCTTAGTCGTTTTTCTTGTAGCTAAATCCTTGTCAAATCACTGCTCTGCATTGAATTTTTATAATCCTACACTTGCAAAATTGATCGAGTTTTAGTGTTGTGCTGACGTTTAAATTCAAATATACCCCTATTTAATTTTTTGTACATGCTCGACTTTTTGGATGAGATGGAGCATTCTCATTATTTGCCTGCTGCTTACAGGTGTTCTTCGGCACTTCTCTTACCAGTTGTGTTTACAACATGCACAAAATTACTATAAATGTTTATTTCTGACCGAATTCTAATATTGACCTATCTGCAGTGTCTCTAATGGGGATATTGTCGCAGTATTTCATATAAGCATTAATTTGTTATGTGTCTGTATGTAGGTGGTGGTTCCCCTGTAATCGTTCTGGAAACGGTGCTCCCTGTAATGTGGGTAGGTCACAGTAAGCTTCATGCTTATAGAAACGCATTGCAAATTTATGGTATTGTGTGTGACAAAGGTAGTTTTCCTATTGTTGGAAAATTGTCTGTTCTAATTAAAAGATTTGATGAGGCTTGATGGAAATCTGTAGCAGCACAAGGTGTGCTGGGGGCTGAAGTTGAGTAGTAGTCTAGAAATGTAGAAGTCATTATAAGTTGGTGTTCTGGCTCTTCAAAGAGTAATATGGTAACTGTTTGAAGATTCTGAAGATTAATCAAGATTGTTTGGCTATCAAATTAATAAAATTAGGATACTACAATCTCAAAAGCATAAGGATAAGAAGGAAACTTAAAGTTTGTGGAGAGAGAACTCAGGGATTTTATTACAGAGAACTGAAGAGAGTAGATTCCATTTGTTTGATAGGAGAAATAAAAAGAAATTAAGTTAGTATGAGAGAATGAAACGTCTCACCAAAGGCAGTAAGTTAGTTCTCTTCCGTCACTCTCTGAGGCCAACCAGCAGCCCATCAGCTGCTGTGAGCACTGCAGGCAGCAATGCGTCCCACAGCAATGGGTGCCAGGCCACTCGAATCTCTGCTTTTAGCATTTTCATGTATATACATATGTTTTGAATCGAAAGAGCTGATGAGCATCTAATATTTTCTGTCAGCTCTAGAAGCACTAATCTTAGTGTGGAAGCAAAATTAGTCCCACGCATCTCTCCTTGTCTCTTAATTCACATGGATCTATTGAAGTGCAAGTGGGAAAGTCATGACCTCAGTGGTAAATCTGTGGGGCTGCCTTACACACTGGCAGCCCATGCAGGCTGTCATTTTCTGTCTTTAACATGCAGAGGTGCCCTTTACCCTTTGTGTGTTAGAGCAGGTGTTTATAAAGGAGGGAGCTCCATTCTTACTAGCCTGGCCACTTTGCTGGAACTGGGTGGTTTATGCAGAACATCAGAGAAAGGAGTAGTCTCCTTTTGGGGACATCAGCCAAGAGCATCACAGCACACAGCCTTGCTCAGGGCTGTTAGTAGAGACAGTAATTCCTTCTGCTCCGCATTATATGGTGAGAGGCTGCTTACCAGTGTTGCTTCATTTAAATCACCCTTCGAATGATAGATGGGTCTCCCCATAGCAAAAGTATTTTTGCTGTCAGCTGGCTGCAGGA